CCCCCCCCCCCTACAGAATCCTTATTTACGCCCCTGAGGACAATTCATAGATAGGACCGTTCATAAATAGGACATTTTAAAATAAAAATTTCATTTTACGACCAATACTTTAATTTAATTGTAATTTAACTGGGTCAATACAGAAAGTAAAGATTTTTGAGTACGACATGACTGGGCGAGAAAAGACCAATATGTCCCTAAATGGTCGAATATAGAAAAATAATTTGGACACATTTGGACATTATAGTTGTTGATGTATACATGTATGTATAAGTACCTCTTTAAACATTTGTCTGCGCAAAATGATCATAAACTTATCAGTATGTTTCTCTTTAGAAATTTATTATTTTCAATTGCGGGAATTTATGTAATAGCAAAGAAGAAGGAAGGAATTAAGAGAAATAATATCTCTTTAATACTAAAAAAGGACGGTTTCTTCCAAAAAATTTAAGAACTTTTAAACAGAAATAAAAATATAAGACTTGCACTTCTTTAGTATCTACCCCTAGCACATACTTATCGAACATTATGAATCAAAAGTTGTATGATTACCTGGCTCCTTTGGTATGCTAAATTTTGTCGGATTTTCCTCTCTTCAAAAATAATTAATTTAAAAAAATTTAACTAACTGAGTCTAATGAAAAAATGTACATCTGAAGTGTAAAGTTTTATCTTTAATGCACCTATACCACTTATCCCTTCTATGATACTTAGGGCCTACTTACACGTGGTTCTGGTTTGACCGATAAACTGTATGTCGGATACACTCTAATTTAAAGAAAAGTTAGTGTATCCGACATACTGTAGTCTGGATGCACAATTTTTGTAGGTCGGTTGGAAACTTTGTGTAGGTCGGATGTAGGTAGACTTAGGCTAACGAGGGATGGAGTGAAAACCAACTCAATTTGTAAATACCAACAGCCGAATGTGTTTTGAGGTATGTGTGGCCCTCAATTTGTAATCACCATGCCATCTCAATTTGAAAAATCTTTTTTTTGTTTAAAATGACAAATAAATGTTTTTCATTACAGTGTTATGGAAATTGATCGGGGTTTCTTGTCATGTCAGTGTCATGGCTACCCAAAAAGGCTTAATGCGATAAAAAAACGCTTTTGATCGCCACTAATCTTACTTCTGTCTGTTGCGTCTATAAGGAGAAAATTGTTAAAGACGTCTCATTCCGAATAACGTAGCGCTCATACAAATTGAGAAAATTGTAACATACTTTCTTAGACCATAAAAAATCAATTTAATTTCAAACAAATCATTCAGATATTACAACCTATAGTCATCGATTATATTTCGCCACATTCGTATATAGTTTATATTTTATAATATTTTTTAATTAATTTGTTTATTTCTCTCGTCGCTTGCGCAACTATCTAAGAATGCCGCACACCACTCACAATTTTCGAAATCCGTTGAAAACGTTTTCTAAAAAAAATAAAATATTATAAAATATAAACTATATACAAATGTGGCGAAAGATAAGCGATGACTATAGGTTGTAATATCTAAATGATTTGTTTGAAATTAAATTGATTTTTTACGGTCTAAGTTGTATGTTGCAATTTTCTCAATGTGTATATATAGATTTATTATAATATACCTAAGTTATTCGGTATGAGATATACTTTAAGTGAGAAAATATTCAATAACTAAATGCGCTTCAGCAACATTAAAAAGTCTTATCAATTCTTTTATAATTAATTATAATCCCTGATTAGCCAGTAAGTTTTCATTTTCCCCTTTCCCTTGATCTCCATTTCTCCACGTGGATCAAGAATGAAGTTTCCTCTTGTTTCAAGGAGTTCTTTTGTTCTTTCACTATGTTTTAAAGTGGATTTTTTAATGTATTGTTCCAATAGTTGGGTGCAAAGCTGTATTTGGATGTTTTTTAATTAAACCTTAATTATTTCTATAATTTAGTATTTTTTATTTATTAAAACAACTATACATGAAAAATACAAAAAGACGTAGCCAAATTCGAAATATAACTCTAGTAAAATCGCTATCTGCGATAGGTAAACTAAAAACCCATAAACCCCATTTTTTTCTTTTCATCCGTTTTTTATACTTATCCGGCGTTGTCAATCAAATGTGCAGTTAAAAAACTTGTGCATTCTTAAAGACAAATTCATATTTTTTTATAGACTTCCGCACATTATAGTGGCCATACTAATTTTTTCTAAACAAATGAAACATGTCAATTAAAATCTAAATAGTATTTTATAAATCAAAAAATTATTTGAAAAAGAAATATTGCTTATTTTCACGGACCTGACATGTATTTTTAAAGGAAGTCCATTGGATTCCATTCTAGAAGCTGTGTTGACTGTGTCTCCGAAAAGGCAATACCGTGGCATTTTGATACCTACAACACCCGCACAGCAAGGACCTGAATTCCAAAAATTATAAGGATAAATAAAAGATAAATTAATGAAATTTAGTCTCAACTCTCAATCTAGACTTAAGGTAAAGAGATCAAATTTATGCAAAATTATTGGTTCGATTTTGGGACCTCATAGCCGCCCAATTTTTTATTAGCACTCAACAATAAAAAAGCATATTTAGTTGGTTTAGGATATTATAAATTCAGACTCAACAGCTTGTCAGAATGATGGTGATTGACAATATTTACGACTTAAAAACATCACACAATTTATTTCAATTTGACCCAATACTTTGTTATTTTTTTCAGTTAGCAGTGCAAACAAATATTTTAATTGTTTTATTGAATCAAATTTTGTTTTTAAAATGTATATAATCATTTTTTTCTCATCATGACATTTTCCCTAATTTATTATTAAATCATTTGGGAGCTTTATTTTGATTTGACTACTAAAAATGCAGTAATATGGTGTTTAAAAATTACCCGAATGAATACCAACTCTAAGTTTTAGTCTCTCTTCAGGCATATGCTTGATTTGAAATTTCCCAACACTCTTAATTATGCTAAAATATTTTTAAACGATATTAACTTAAATTATAGAAATAATACAGAAACAATATTTGGTTTTGTAAATCTGGACTAAAAGATGCCATTTTCTCATGTTTAGGTAAACATCTTGTTAGTAAAAAAGTTTTAAAATCTTATGATGATCAACTCTAATAATTTTGAATTATATTTATAATTTCAAAAGCCCTTAGTGAATTGAATTTCATCACAACACAAGAACTATTCGGATTTATGATTAATATAAAGGGTGTAAATAAAAAATAACACATTTTTAGTTAAAATCATCAAAACAATTAGTCTTAGATATTTTGATATAGCTTCTGTAGAAAGATAATGGGATTGGGTAATAAACGTAAACCGTTATTTTATAAATTTGCAGTGAAATCCAAAAGTAAGGCTAAAAATTGTTTTGTTCATAGTTTGTAACCCTTATAATGTAAAAATGAACACTAAAATAAAAATATTTAAAACTTGTAAACTACTTGCTCTAATTGATTAATTTAATTTGAAACTTGACTTTTTTATTTTTTTTTACACCCTTTGTTTAAATAAAATGATTACTGCATAGATTTTGGGTAAGAATTCATTGTTGAAATTTACTGTAAAAAACTATTTTTTAGTAGTAGAAAAATTTAGTAAGGTCATGTTGAGGTTGAAGCATGTTAGGTTGGACTTCCCTAATACTAGTGATTTTATTTGATTACCTGAGGGACATGCCCGCAATCTCCTGTGCATGATTTTCATGAACTTTAGGTAAACCTGAAACCACCATATAGGCGTCTCCTATGGTTTCCACCTAAATTAATCATTGCCTCATCCTAGTTGCGAATATTTAATCATTGTTAACTTTACTTATTGCTTCATTTTTGAGAGACAGAAATAAAATTGCAATTAGGACTGAATTCAATATCGATCTCTCTCATGTTTACTTCTTCTGTGATAACCAATTAATATAAAACTTTTTTGATCGCAAAGATATATACAGTGAAACCCTTAATAAGGAATACATCGGAAGAATTTATCAAATGTCGTCTTGACGATTTTTCAATGAGTTTTATACTATATTACGTAAATTTCAGTATTTGCGAAAATAAATCAATAGCCATGAATATGCGGGAACAGCGTTAAAGAGTTCCATATAATCATTTAATTAAAAAACTAAATATCTGCAACATTCCATTATCAGAAAGTGAAGAATACGACATTTGATGAATTATTTCGATGTATTCGTTATTAAGGGTTTCACTGTAGATAAGAAAATTTTTGGTTGTGACAATTACAAGTTTCTTTAAAGCTTAATTTTCTAATTCAATCGATAATCTGAAATAAAATGTCAATTTAAATTCTGAACAAAGATTAAAATAATAAATTTTATTTGCTATATTGAAATGTGATTTTACGACGACAATAGTTTTTTTTACTTCTTTATCAATTACTTTTGTAATGAATGTAACATCTACTGTTAAAGAAGTCCGGAAAAATGTCTCATTTAGAAAAATAGATACAGCTTTTCTCATTTTAGACACACCAGATAGTAGTACAAATGTTAGCATTAGATTTTAAATTAAATTTCAGTTGTATACATTTTTGCTAATTCACTTTAAAGGTTTTTCGCAAACCCTTTTTTATATGAATAATTTTAGCTTTAACTGTGCTCTAAAAGTCATTCTCAAATTTTCCAAAAAAAAAATGTTTCTAAGATTTTTTCTTTATTTTGATGGCTCATTATCTTTCATGGGGGGCCCCACACAACATTTGGGCCAAATCAGTACAGCCATTTTGACGTTTATTACAAACACTAGAGCTAGGAACTTTAGAATGGTGGTTATCAAGATTAATGCTTAATCCTCTCTTTTTGCTAATCTCGAGACTAACATAATCTCGCGATTATGTTAGTCTCGAGATTAAATATTTAGATCAACAAATTAAACTCCAGGAACGCCAGATTTGTTCGTTTTTTTTACTGAAAGGGCCTTCACTAAATTTCTCACCCATTTATTTATAAAACATTAGTTAAATTTGGTTAAAAAAGAATCTCAAACGTATTATTGAATATATTTCTTCACCAATTAAAAAATGGCCGACAACATATTCTTTATTTGTTACATTTTGCGAATTTCTCTCATGGGATAGAATTTATTTACAAGGCTGTCATTGGTCAATACAATTTACTAACTATATTCAGGAGCGGATACAGGATTTAAGTGAGGGGGGGGGCAAGATTTTTTAGGAACAAAAAAATGAATAATTAGGAACAAAAAATCATGCTGTAGGCGAACATTTTTTTTTGACTTAAAAGACTCAAAAAGAGTCAAAATTAATGACTAAAGACTAAAAAACTAGATTTTTAAATTTTAGGAACAAAATTAAAGGATTAGAACAGGAATTTAGGAACAATTAAAAGATTGTTCAGGAATTAGGAACAAAAATAAATGATTAGAACAGGAATTTAGGAACAATTAAAAGATTGTTCAGGAATTAGGAACAAAAATAAAGGATTAGGACAGAAATTTAGGAACAATCAACTGATTGTTCAGGAATTAGGATCAAAATTAAAGGATTCGGACAGGGATTTAGGAACAGGAACAATAATAGGAACATTAGCAATTTAAGAACAAAAAGAAATTACTATTTATACTTAAATGCATGAAAATTAGGAACAATATTACAATTTTGATAAATGAGTATTGATTAAGGAACATTACTAGATATGAACAATATTATAACTTAAGTCTAGTTTCTTACAAATTTCTAATTTTAAATTTATCGTTAACAATAACATTTATCAAATTGGGAACATTTTTTGCCTCGAAATCTTAGGGGGGGGCGAATGTCCCCCCGCCCCCCTGTATCCGCCCCTCACTATATTCCTGCCCTCTCATTGGAGAAAACAATGTACGGATATCCAACGAGAGAGAAAAAGAGTGGATTAAGCAATAAAATGAAAAGTTTCTACAGTGGATATTCGGATTAAGTAATCGGGATTAAAGGTTATCCATTCTAAAGTTCCCAGCTCAGGACAGACAGGCAAAGTATAAATATAGATGAACATTTTTTTAATCATTCAATGTTTAAACATCAAAAACTCATACTTATACTAAGAAAGGTCTAATAACAAACCTTGTATACATCAAAATGTTCTATAATAGAATCAAAACATGTATAGAGATCATTAAGGAGATCCACGACTTGAATTGGATCACTTTCAGCTGAAATCTTTGTGAACCCTACAAAAAAACGTGCTGAAGGGACTGCAAGTGTAATTTCAAAGTGACCCTACGTTCAGCTGACGTTTCATGTATACCTCAAAATTCCTGGATATTCTATGGTCGCATCGCATCAAAAGTTCAAATGTAAATATTTATTTTCTGCAACTTCTAGAAAGGAAATATAATTATTTCTTGAATTTAAAACAGTTTGCAAACAAAAGCGTAGATAAATGAAGGACCACTTGAATTTACACCTACTACAGCTTTCATTCTCAATATTTTTTCTTTGAGTAAAGTTATGAAAAATAAAGAAGGTAAGTCGAAAAACGCTGGAAATATGTTTTATAAATAGCTTGCAAAAAATGTCAAGTTTAACTAGCGGGTTTTTGGAAGAACAATAGAAAAGTATAAAACTAAAAAGTTCACAAGAATCACTTGTTCGAAAAAGTGATTTGTTGTTTATTGCGTTGCCACTTGTATGTATATTGTTACAGGCTTCGTGACGTGAACAATAATCAAAGTAGGAGACTCAATTTCTTTTCCATGATCTGAAGGAATTCTACCACTAAGAACATGTTTTGCTGTTATTTTTAGGTGTTGGGTACTTGGCAACTCCTCAAATGTTCAATTTCCCAAGCGGAAATTTCACATGATAGTATAGGTTAGACGAGCTGCAATGGGGGTGGGGGGAGCAAGCGCTGCAGCTAGGATTGGCTAGTGGGTCGAACAGACTCGGTAGGTTGCATCTTGAGAAATTGCACATTTGAGAAGTTGTCATTGGGAAAATACCCTTGGGAAATGTCCACTATGAAAAATTCCTTTGGGAAAGTACATAACATCTTTTTTATTGTTTAGATATTTTTAGATACGAAATTTATATTAAACCCATGGAAATTTAAAGTTTATAATAGTATTATATATAAAAATCTGTTTCTCATTTTTAACATTTATGAACGATTATATAAAAGTTTTACTAAAAATTTTAAGAAGTGGATACTGACCTACAATATCACTGAAGTAAATTGTGACAGATTTAAAATTCTCCGCCATAACTGTTCTCCCTTCAATCAGTGAGTTTGCAACAGATCTAAATGTCATGATTAAAAACTTTCAACCCAACTTGGTAATTTTGATTTATCTGATCTGCAAAATTATTAAAAATATACAAAAAAAAATGTCTTACTGTGGAAGAAGTTGGTAGAGAAGATCTTCACATTTCCTCTTTTCGTCATAATAGTCCTGTGTTCTCTCCTGAACCAATCCTTCAAGATTGTTAGCGTACCTCTCCATCCGGGACATTAGATTATCCATTATATTGTTACTTGTACTGAAAAATTTTGTAGTAAAGGGGTTTTGTTACAGGGTGCCAAGATTATAAATGTTCCCAAAAATACAATAGTATACGTACAAACCATTTCATTCTTGCTCTTTTAAAGACGGACAGTTTTTTTTAAACCTTCAGATTTGACAGTTGCCTAAAGGAGTTACGCGCACTTGCCGCGTGGAATTACAAGAAAGAAAGAGATTAGCATATATTTTAGGGTTAGGCTGTGTTCAGAAATTTTCTGGGCCGAGCGATGTGGCTATATCGGACAAGCAAGGGTGCCGAGCGCTGCGACTATGAACGGCTAGGGGTAGAGCACCGCGGCTAGAACAGGCTAGATCTGTCGTGTAATTCAACGCGGCATGCTTCTGCCTTCAGATTTACACTTTTGTTCAAACCAAATAGATTGTCAAGTACAATAGATGGCAACAGAAAAATGTACCAATCATGCACGATGCGCAAGTGTCAAATGTATAAAGAAAGACGACATTCTGTCTAAATAGCTGATAGATTGGTGATGTTATTTTGGTCCTATAGCATTTTCCGTCCCACATTATTTCCGTCCTAGGATACTTCGGACCTACTGCAACATCGGACTTGCGCAGCTGTAGGTCGGATGAACATTCTATTTTGTTAATCCGCCCTACAAAAATTATGCATCTGACCTACACAAGTTGTGTGCCAGTGCATCCGACCTACAGTTAAGTTGTGCAGCATCCGACCTAAAACAAAAGTCGTCTGACCTACTGTATAATGTTGTGCATCCGCGCATATACTAAGGTTGTTCATCTCACCTACACCTACAAATGCAGTGCATCTGAAGGTCTGCATCCACCCTACAGTTAAGTGTGCAACCGACCTACAGTAGGTTGATACACTAACTTTTTTCAATTGAGTGTGTATCCTACATACAGTTCATCGGAATAACAGCTGCAGCTAGAAACTTCTGAAAACCCGGTGCGGGTAGGGCCGAAGTATCGTAGGACGGATGTAACGTTGCTTTTAAAATCAAGATCGTTAACTAACAGTAATTTTTAAAAAATCGGTATAAATGGCGATAAAGAAACAAACGCTCCCGTTCTTCCCTATAAAATTAACGGCTACCTGAAAGTTTTCTGTTTTTAACGGTTGGAACTAACCGTTAACGAAACGACTAGAAAAAGTTGGAACGTGTCCAGCCCTAAATTTGTACTTGATAATCTGTTTGGTTCAAACGAACTACATACATAGACACCAGGGGTATGACATCTTTCTAAAATCATTTATCATCTAAGTAAAATTGTTTTACAAACAAGTAAGAATGACGAATTTGAAAAGCATCTTAAATGGTTTTCAATAGAACTGACTTGAAAACCGCAGAATTTAAGACAATTTACAGAATTAAAAAATATTTCAAAAGTGGGCAAGTTGTGGTCGATAATGATTTTTTATGTAAACACTTTACCTGATTTTATTCAACTTTCTCACATCATTTCTTATTGTACTAATATCTGGTCTCTGATCGGGTTCCTTGATTTATATAAGTTCAAAAAAGGCTTTGAGTCGGATTATTGAATGATTCTAAAGATGATTTTTATATCCCTTTCTCTCTCTTATTCTAACTTGACAATAATACGTTCATCCTTTCCAAAATGTCGTCTTCATTCCTATTTAATATTTTCATCCACTAAATCACTTATTCTCTTATAGTTTTACACACACGTATTTTATCCTATCGTTATCTTTATACTAAACTTCAATATTTTGCTCATTCTCTTTCAATACAGTGGTTCTCAAAAAACATCTATTCCTTTGCCCAATCTTTCCAATCACTCTAACTACCAATATAACAACCCTTATTTTCATCCTAGCTCTCATTGATTCCTAATCCCAAATCTTCCAATCCCAAATTTCTCAACAGCTGATTTCCATCCCAATCCCAACTTCCTCTTTAGTTGATATCCTTTCCAATTCCCAACCTTTTCTACCTACTTCCAATTGGTTCTATCTCATTCATAAACCTTATTCCCAAACCAAGCCTAATCCCAATATCTTGAACATTAGTTGATAATCGTTTGGGATCCCAATAGTTTGGATTTTGTGTAAAAGTTACGACACTATAAACTTTTTATATCATGCCTTATTTATGACAAATGACAATGGACAAGAAAATATGAATTTTAGAAGTATTAGAAAGAAATAAGCCTGTGCAAAAAACCAGCCTGTGTGAATATTTTGCGCAGTATTATGCTGCCTAGCTAAAGGGGTGTTTAGATCCCTCGAAACAAAAGTTATTAATATGTTTTCATGTTTTCACTTTTATATCTTTGTTAAGCCTAAAAGTGTTTATATTGTCAAATATTACTATCTTTAAATTTGCCCTGCATTTGGCAATCTGCAAAAAGCAGGCTAGACACAGTCGCTATAGAACCAGTAAAGAGAAAGGATTCAAGATGTAACTCCTACAAAGAAGAAAAGAACTGTTCGACCCGCGTACCACCCTCGCGGTCAAAGCGAGTGCAAAGAACCCTATATTCTTTTTGTGACCAGATCTGATCAATATATACTTCTTTAATTTGCAACCACATCGATTCTTAGAGAGAGAGAGAACATCATATTGCTGGTTAAAGATTAAGAAGTCTTTTATATATATCTGGTTATATATTTTCTACCATCTCAAGCTACCCTCCCCAACTCAACTTCCCAAAATACTTCCTCGCCAATCATTCATATATATATCTTTCTCTTTTTCTGAAACAGCTTTAAAATATTTTTAGAAAATTTGCCTATTTTTTTATACCACCCTAATCTATTTCCATCAACCCCCATAGCTGGGTAACCCAGTTTTGCCTGGAACTAAACTTTAAATTTAACCCAATCAGCTAAACATGTTTAAGCCAGGCTAAGAACGTTCCCATGGTTCTGCCGACTTCCCTTAACAAAATTGGAGGCAAGTCGGCCCAGGGATTCCTGACTCCAGACTAGGGTTTCCAATTGCACGCAACGGAATTCCGATTGGAAACCCTACTCCTGAGTTATGCTCGGACATCCAAACAAACAAACCTATGTTACAACTTTATATAAAGATATAGATATATACCTGTGACCAACATCTCTCTATTAAATGAACCATTTCGATTTCTATGTCAAAATCCAGAGAAGGTCTAAAAATGAAATGTTGTAAAATTAAAGTGATTTTATGGCAGGGCAACCCCGTAGAATTCTTGTTTAAGTAATATTAAAATTTGATACTAATAATAATTTTGTACATAGACTATGCATAGACTAGCATAGACTGACATAGACTATGCATATGTATTAGTTTAGATTGTAATTTAAAGTAAAACTATTACCTAAGGAACTCAACTTGTACTCCTCGCACAATATATTGTGGTGACCAACAGTTAAAGTTGATGCCCCATGTGCCCTGCTGTACAACTAACGTGTATTTAATACAATTTTCTAATTATTGTAATAATACCAAACAAATTAAGTATTTACAATTAAAAAATCATGATAATATAAACAATAAACATTCATATTTATTTGTATGTAATATAGTATAGTAAAATATAGGACATTGGTATTCAGGTTTAAAAAAAATACTGTATGGTGTTGTTCCATAGTACCAGATTTATGTAGTGTTTAAAAAAGATCAAGATTTCAAATTTTGTCTGAATTTACCAAGTTATTTTGAGCATTTCACATATTTCAATATAGAATCCTTTTTTTTTGGAAAAAGAAACACTAAGCTATCGTATCGTCAGATTTGAAGATTATTTTAGTAAAATTATAAAGGTAAATTTTAAATTTTGAGTTAATTGTAACTACACAGTGTTCCAGAAAAGAAAACTCTTTAAGGTTTTGTGCCTCTTGTTGTGGTTCGATTTTCATAGATGGACACCAATAGACGTCTGTAGCACAAAAATAAATTTGGTTAGTTTGAAACTTTTTTTGTTTTTTTGTTAGTAAAATTTCGCCATAAGTTCGGCAGTAAAAAAGTTTTTTACAACTGTCTAATTACCCACTGCACGAAACATGTATCTCAAATTGTTGATTTAGTAAAAAGAAAACTGTGGTGATTTAGTAAAAAGAAAACTGTGGTGATTTAGTAAAAAGAAAACTGTGGCGATTTAGTAAAAAGAAAACTGTGGTGATTTAATAAAAAGAAAACTGTGGTGATTTAGTAAAAAAGAAAACTGTGGTGATTAAGTAAAAAGAAAACTGTGGTGATTTAGTAAAAAGAAAACTGTGGTGATTTAGTAAAAAGAAAAGTAAAATTTCTAAATTAATACATTCCTATCTCGTGAAGGATAATAGAGAATGAGTAAACGTCTCCTTTCTGACTCCCTCCACTAAAATAACATACTGGGATTAATAAAACCCTTACGCATACAGTTCTAGCATATTTAGAATTGAGCTATTCTATGTACTAAAATTACAGTTCAGACAAATTGAAATAAATTCCATGTTTTGAGACGCATGCAGATTTTGTGTTAATTCTTTGTTAAATCTACATTTGATCCTGGTTTTGCAATAAGTTTTTTCTGACTTGGTAACAAACTCTAAAACTAAAATTTTGTAACACATCTTCATTTACTCAGCTACTGAGTTCACCTTGTATTTAGAAGCTCTGGGGCTGTCCAAAGCTTTCGCTTCCAGAATTCATTATCCTCCGTTCTGAAAAATGAGTAATTCTGCTTTTAATTTATTCTTTTAATAGCCTTTTTAATGCGTGGTCACTAAAAGAAACAAGTTTACATTCCAGGGAATCATGAATATCAGAAAACAGTTAGTAAATATTCCGTATTGTCGTCTCTGAAGTCTCATGCTTTGTGGGTAACACTGTAAGGTAGTTTTTATGAGAAAAAAAAGTTTAAAATAGCAGGCCCCCACAGTTTGGAAACTATTCTACATATACAGTGATAAAGACGACTTTATAGCGATATTTAGGTGTATATCATATAGTTTTAAATTCGGCCTCTGGACACTATTTAAGTGAAATTGGTCTTTTACACTACAAAATTGCGGTGTGCAATGCTCATTGGACTATTTTAAGTAGTAAAAAATTCAGAGTAAAATACCCATCTGAGTTTTCTTCTCTTCTCAATGAAAGTAATCCAAAATCAGTGAGTTTCACGGCAAACCTTGAAAATATAAAATTAGTCAAAGCAATCTGACATTTAAACATTATTTTAAAATCCTTTTTAAAGCCAAAAAAGAAATTTTTCAAGAGTAGACATTTTTACAAAATGAAATTGGCATAGCAGCGCGGTTAAAACAGGCTAGGGAACTGAGCGCTGTGGCCATTACATTAACAATATACATTGTTAGACCATGTTCTGGAAAATCTGTGTTAAGACAGTTTCTGGGCTGAGCACTGCGGCTGGATCATGACGGCCACAATACTGGCCGACTGCAGAATTATTTCATACTTAAAATTGATTGAGTTTGGGTCAAAAAACACTTTTTAAAGAAATTAATTTTCTTTGATTGTTGATAAAAATACGTTTTTTCTTCATAACTTTGTAGATTTTTAATACTTTTCAATTCTGTAAATGATTTCAGCTTGGATTTTCAAGTGTCGATTCAAACTTTTCAATTTTCATTTTACTTTGTATTATTTCACTTTTATCAGTTATAAAACCCATTTGCGAAAATACTTTTCTTCTTGGTTCTTTTAAATGTTTTACTCCTAACCATATTATGTACAGGGGTGTGTAGTAAAGATGGAAACTTTTAAAGTAAGTATAACATGTTTTATGCTAAACCCAATTTAGACATCTGATTTAAATGATTATACTTATATTCAATGTTTGGGAGTAGATTGAATATATTTCATCAAAGGAATTGAGTCTTTGGAACAAAATCAAATATTTAAACATCAATATCTTTAGAACCCGATGTTGTAAACCTTTGACATTTCAAACTCAGATTAGTTGATCTAACAGAATTCATAGTTTGAAATATCTAAGGTCTGCAACATTTGGTTCCAAAGATATAGTGATTAGAAAATCAGAGTTTGTGGCGAAGACTCAATTCCTTTAACCTTCTTCAACCTCAACAATCTATTCTACAGGACCTCTTGATACATAGTACACAGCCGGTCCTAATTTTAACCGTCCCAGAAGACAGTAGTAGTGATCTTCAGCTAAATTTATCGTTCTGTAGTAAGGGTGAAAGATTTTCACAAATTTGAGAGGAATTAATTTCAATTAGTAAATACTAATGTATTTTTTAATTCCAAGAAACATTTACAAAACGCATTTTCGCTAAAATCAAAATTTACCATCGCAATTGGCCTTTTGTGATAAAGAAAACTATTGTAATAATGTTTTTTCTTTCTTCTCAAAATATGTCAATATGGACATCAAAAGATCCGTCTTTCCAAGCCATATTCAACGGAAAATCCCATTTTACAAAATAATAAAAATTAGCCAAGTTGGAACTAAAAACCTGAAAAACTAAGGAACACAGCTGATTTTATGATTTCCCTAATTTTTTCCACTTTACTGCTCCTAGTTTGCATGTTTTTGAATATTTTTGTAACCCGTCTGCTGCGTTGAATTAGGCTTTGATATTCATATATCGTCATATTTTGAAAAAAATTAAAAATCCCTTGTGACACCGGTTTTTCGGCCATAAATATCCAATTGCGAAAGTCAGTTTTGATTTTATCGAACAATGCTTTTTGTAAATGCTGCTTAAAATAAATAAAAAACACAGTAGTATTTATTTCTTAATTTGTGTTTCATGAAAATGTTCCCTTATTCTGCAGGCCTTCCATAGACCTCATCATCTATTCGCGTAAAAAAATTTGAAACTAAGACATTTGGGTCTAGGTAACAATTACTGGGTTTTATTCCCAAGAGACCAAAATCTTGCCAACCCGTTACCAGAGAAACACTTGATATATTTGTGTGAGGAAGAGCAATATCTTAAACCAAGACATAATTGTGTTCTCCATAAACAGTGTTAGCTCCAGAAACAGTTTTTGAGTTCAAAATTTTCTTAACCACCTGATAGCCAGGTTTCCTCGCTTCAACAAAAATACAGGAGTACGTTTCTTGCACTCACTCCCACTACGGCTAGAGCAATAAGTGAGGCTGGATTTTTTGTCCTTTTGGTTCACCATTTACCTGTAAGTTTATCTATCGGCAGAATAAACCGATTTTGTCGAAAATGCTTTGAATTATCAACATTTGATTTTTTTTAATAATTGTCAATAAAAATAATCTTTTGCCACATTTTTAAGCTTAGAAACCATAAAGAACTTTCCAATGGTTTCCTTTGGACAGTAGACACATCCTGACAGTTTAAAAAAGTTTCCATCATTACTAAGCATACTGTATACAATTGTAACATTCTTGAAATTAGGATTAACATTTATTACTTTTAATTCGTTGATAAAGAATATTAATCATAACCTGCTATCAACTACACAGTTAGATGATTTGAGATTTCCATGTATTCTTAGGTCTGAAGAATGAAGAAAAAACAAACCCTTAACGATGTCATAAATCAAGGAAAACCTAAAATAAGAAAATGAATAACTTTTTAAAAATTTCAATGATCTATATAATAAAACAAGATTTTTATATGTAATATATATTGCGTATAGCCGTCCAAACGGCTGAACCGATTGAGCTAAAAAAATTTTGCGGACACTCATGGGTGGGGGGGGGGGTGTGTGTTATAGATTAAAAAATCGAAAATTATTTCTTTCAAACTAAATTTTTTTAAAACTTTTTTTCTTCACATTTTTTTCTCACGGGCAACGCCCCTTCAGCTTCTAAGTAATATTTACAGACATAACATATTTATGCCCTAAAAATGTTATTAACAAAATATTTTCGATTTAACTTTTAATTTTTAATTTATTTCAAAATTGACCTAAAATCAGCATCTAAATGCATTCCACTATCTTCAAGTATGTCCTGCAAGGAACCTCGTGGACAATATTCTGTTAAAACAAATGAACAATCTAAAAATCGATGTTATGATTAAATATGAAAGAGCCGTTTTATTTTGAAAAGAAAATTATGTAACGTTTTGTTGTATTGATTTAGTAAGTATGTGGGGTAGGGGGATATAGACGGAACGTTTTTAAAACCTAATATATTGAACTTTCATTTAAAAAAACTTTGTTGCGGGTTCCCACCTGGTTCAAGACATGCTCCGACAAACCTCACAATATTATCATGTTGAACGTCTTTTAAGCGCTTAAGTTCCAAAAGTAAAGACCTAAAATGAAAAAGGAATTGAGTCTTTAACACAAACTCAGAATTTTTAATCCTTAATTCTTTACAACCCAATGGCATAGACCTTAGACATTTCAAACTATAAATTCTGTTCGATAAAGTAATCGAAGTTTGAAATATCAAAGATTTACAAATTACCCCCTCGTGCTGCAAAGATATCGGGTTTATGAAATTTAAGTTTGTGGTAAAGACTCAATTGCTTTTTTCGAAGACAAATCGAACATAGAATGAATGTAACTTATTCTTAAAATTATTCACGTACAAATACATACATATATATATATATTTATGAATAAAATGTTATTAGAAGATTGTCAGTAATTTACACAATATACTCAGTCTAATTCTTTTGAGAACAAAATATTACTTTCTTATATAGTACCGTTTAAAGCTGTTCATGAGGCCGTGGCGATCGATTTTTTATCTTCTAAATAGCTACATTTCATATGTATTTTAAACTCTCTGTTTCCAAACTTTAGGATAACTGTGAAATTCCTTTTTAAAAGTGTGTGATGAATCTGAGACAAGGGTGGGACTGAACTGAGATCACTGAGATAAGGGTGTAGCTGAATTGAGACAAGAGTGTGATGGAACTGAGACAAGAGTGTGATGGATTTGAGACAAGAGTGTGATGGAACTGAGACAAGAGTAGGATGGAACTGAGACAAGAGTGTGATGGAACTTAGGCAAGGGTGGGATGGAACTGAGACAAGAGTGTAATGGAACTGAGACAAGAGTAGGATGGAACTGAGGCAAGGGTGGGATGGAACTGAGGCAAGTTAGGGATGGAACTGAGACAAGGACGTGATGGAACTGAGACAAGGGGGATGGAACTGAGACAACAGGGGTGAGATGGAACTGACACAAGGGTGGGTGGAGTTAAGTATACGGTGGCGTGGAATTGAGACAAGTGTGGACGGAAATGTAAAACAATGTAAAAGAATGACAATAAGATATTTTCAAATAACTAAATGATCCCTATATGCATCCAAATGTGAACACGAAAGATACTGTGAACCAGCAAAGATTTGAAATAAAACACATTTCATGAAAAGTAACCTGTTCGACCAAAATCAAAATACAGCAGTAAAGAAATCCTATTTTGTTCAATATAGCAAAAATTACCGAACACAAAGAACAACAGTTTAACTTAAAATACCATTAACAAGCTGTAGTGATGAAGTTGTAAAGATATATTCATCATTCTAATATGCATGAAAAAAATAGGCCTACTAATATTCTATTGGGACAAATCAAACATACCTTTTATTAGTGTATTCATAATTTGCAGAATAAATTTTAAAATAATATTTTACATTTAAATCTGTAATCTATGAAGTTTTCCAATCTTACTAAAATCTCCCAGCATTTTCTTTCTTAAGTAAATATACACATTCCGGCCAATCAATCAACCTCTATTTATATAAATAAACTTTATATCCCTCGGTATTTTTATGTATTATTACTTTCTGTCAGAACTTGAATATCTGAAATTTCAAGAGTAATCGACAAAACATTATTTTTTAAAAGATTAATCTCAAACCGAAAGGAATTAACAAAAAAAGTTTTAAACCGCTATTTTTGGTGTAGTATGGGCGGACTGTACACAATAACCTCATAGACTTAGAAATTACTTGGCAAAATTTATCAAACAGAAAAAGATAATTTGTATCTTTCGCTTATAGAATAGGTATGTTGTTATATCAGTCTCCTGTTTCCATTCCATCTTTACACTTCCTCTCAGATTCTGTGACCAAGATTTGTGGTTTTACCCACTACTGAAATATTAGGTTTTTTGATTTATGAAATTGCACAAAAAATACAATCATTGTTTATTGTAACTTGACCAATTATCAGTTAATTCATACAAAAGAAAAAATTGGCTTGATTTGTAGGCTATACACTAAGCTCTGTGCGCCCAGAGATATGTGCAAAGAGCACATTTCAGTTTCTTCCGTGACCAGATTTAGAGATAGAGCTTTCCAAACATCAATGAACTTTCTTACAATCATGATAACATATTTGGTAATTTATTTATTAAATGGTCCTAGTGGGTTTCTACTATTTTCTACAAAATCATTCCATAATTGTAAAAATTATGGCCTTCTTTTCATTCAAAACCAATAAAGATATATGCTGATCGAAATGGTGAATTTGTTTATCATTCCTTAAGGATAATTAACAAACGTTAGGAAAGTTCTAGCATTAAATCTGACCATGGGAAAAGCTGAAATGTGCTTTTTGAACATATTTCTCTAAGTACAAAAAGCTATATAACCTATGACAAATATAGCAAATTTTTGTCTTTTAATTTTTCATGAATGTACGGGTTAGAAGTTGTATTTATGGTTTACAACATTAGATTTAGTTCTCAATGTGTATTAACAAATATTTGGTCAAGAAAAAACATAAAATGATCACATTTTTCTGGTAAAATTTAATAAACCCTAAAAACCTGATATTTAACTAGGCTTGTGTGTGTTTTGTAATAATCTGCAGTACACTGACCAGACATATAATGCAACTTTTAGTGGAGAGTGGAGTGGATAGATATGTCGTAAAGTACACTGAGAGCGTGCATTAGTAATCCGTTGTAATAGTATACTCCGCATGGTAACTAGTCGATGTAGAGAACTATCATCCCCCCCCCCATTGACTTTTACCTGTTCTGATTGATCGATTTGGTGTACAGATGTTTATGAGCTACGATATTCCCCTTAAAGAATACAGTTTTCACGTACGTCTGAAAAGATACGGATTTTCTCATTTAGTTTCGCAGATATTAAAATTATTTCTATTATAAGTGCTTTCCTAACTCCCCAGGGACAGATCTGAGATCCAATTTCTCTAACAATAATATTATATGGGCACAAGGATACAACAAAAATAACGGAATGAATAAGTATTTTGGGCAGCAAGCACCATCTATTTTTTCAAATAAATAATCTGAAATTATTTATTGAATATGATTATGAATATGTAATGAATTTATCTACAATACAAACCCTTAAAGGGACCGTTCACTTTTTTGGGTAATTTCAGGGTAAACTAAACAGCCTAAGCGCTTTAAAATATAGCATTACTGGCTACTTCATACTGCATGGATTATGAATATGTAATTAATTTATCTACAATACAAACCCTTAACTAAAATATTACTGGCTACTTCATACTGCACGGCAAAGAAAGTGATAAACTAACTTTATTGGTTTTGTTTTTGATGAGTATATGATATATTGATTCCATTAATTTAAATAACTTTCAGAAACGTGTAAGACTCAATTGCATATAGCTGTAATGAGATAAAAGAAAGAACTACTTTACTTTTAACAATCTGCAAGAGTAAATAATACAAAATATAGTTTATTTATTTCGTCTTCAGTAAATCAAGCTAACAAGAACCTCATCTTTTTTTATTATATATAATATTTGTATTAAATCTATTGTTATTTAGGTGTAGTTAAGATCTTATTCTGGTTGGTGAATTGGCGAAAACAAAATAAGACTAATACCTGTTTTCTGCTTTCTTCACAGTCCAAGCTATCAATGCTAATAGACTTGTAAATAGAAGATTTGCTTCCAAATCTACTCCTCATCTATTTATAATTTCAAAATATAAAATTTGTTTTATATCTAAAACGTTTACTTAAAAAATGCAACAGTTATAACCTCTTTAGTTGGAATTATATTATCTGGCGTGATCTTCCAATGCATACTGGCAATCTCGGCTTCAGCCTATCATAATAAAATTTACGAGAAATAAGAAATATAAATCCCTTTTTCTGTTCCCTTTCCTTGTAATTGATATAATATTTTATTGATTTTTTGTAACCACATGTCTACCTAAGACTTGCTACAAAATGCGAGGTGTAATTATAACACTTCAAGTTTGGCAAAGTTTAGAGTTAAAATGTTTGAATTTGTTTTGTTTTTTGTCTATACCATATCTGAAGTTTACAGTACGTTTATTTTAATCGAAAATGCAAGATATATTTCAAATGAATATATAAAAGATTAGTTTGAGCTCACCAGAAGTTATAATCGTATGCATTAATTTTACTATGCTAAGTGTAAATGTTTTCTTATGTTCAGTAAGGCAATGTATTTATAATGTATTTTAGTGTATACAAGTAGATAAAGCGTAGATCTAGTTTCTACAAATATTTACTCTTTTCCCCGTTAGAAGGGAATATAATAGCATAATATCAAAATATTATAATCCTAGCTCGGTTATCACATTATTATTACGTTCGAGTTTAATTTTCTTTCCAAACGACAGAAAACTCAGTGATTATATCGTTATGAAAATTTGTTATATTTCTTTCAATATTTTTCTATAATATATCTTATTTCATTCAATCTTATTAACATTGTTGTCAGGACTCTACAGAGTTCATTCATAAAACATTAAGCATACTGCTTGCCAAACATAAAAAATTGGGTTTGGCATGTTAAACACTTTTTCTCTTTTGCGGCAAAGTATAAAGAAAATATTACCTTGTAGTGTCTGTATACAAACACTGCTCCTATAAAAAACACAACAACCAGAGTTGTGGTCAATACCAACATAATTGGCCAGATTGCCTGGGTTCCATCCTCATCCTCCTAAAGCGTATTTAGTTATACATATACTTAAAACCTTTTTACAGCTGAACCACTACTAAGATCTTTTTAGGCCAGACTCTATGTATTCTCTGATAAAATTCTTATGTCCCCCTTGTAGAACAACCTTCTCAAATTCACATATCTGTATTTGCTTTTTTTGGTTGTCTTTGTATTAAACATTAAACAAACGAAGCCCTATTATTTGAAGGAAGTCCTAAATACTCCAAATATTTGTATTTATACGGGGAATTTTGAAAATACACATAAAATTACTAAACGTTACACATGGATGCATACTTGATAAATAAAAAAATAGGGGGTTTTCTTTATGAATTTTAGATTTTTTAAGGTGCAAAAATTAATATAATATAACCCTAAAGGGGAACGCCCTAGCTATCAACCCCTCCCCCCCCCCCAACCTTTCAGGGTTAAGGTAATAAGGTAACCTGAAGCTCTTGAATAGAAATTTTAATTCTCTATGATCATTGAAAATGAATCACTTTACGGAAAAGAATTTACAACATGTTAAACCATAATATTATATTGTTTCTTGGTTTGTTTAAAATGAAAGAACAGATTGGGCCCACATTTTTTGTGGAACCTCACTTGGTCCCATTGGTGGTTTATGGCTGGTTAGAATTATAAATAACCCTTTCTTGATTTATTTTAAATTTTTAAAATTCATCAATAAAATTAGGAAAACTTACATGTGCAACGCAAAACACTTAAAAGCTAAAATTTTACTAAAAAGAGGGTCGCAAAGTTCAGCTAAATTAAACAAAAACAATTATATTTTATCTGGGTTAAAAATAATTTTTATTTGAAAAATATCACCTCAGGAGCACATGCTCCAGTCAATCCTGTGAATCCACAAGGCGGAAAGTCTAAAGGAACTTTAGATTTCGGCCACATAAAATCCAAAACGTTCTCGTAAACTTGTTCTCCAGAGTCTGCAAATAACAATGTTAAGCCTAATCAAATTAAAATTGTGAAATGAATATGAGAACTGATCTATATCAGTGGAATTAAAATTTAACTTTAGTTATAAACTATTGTCATAATAAAAAAATCTTATTTATCAATATTTGTCTATGAAGTAAACAATTTTTACTGTCTGGCCTGAAATCAAAAAAGAATTAAAAAATATATTATTTACATCTATTTATATAATTACCAAGAGTTTTGTAGCTTCTCACCCTTTGATATACTTGCTTTTCCACATCTGTTAGTATTTAAAGCTTTTTTCGACATTTTTCGGCTTATTTTAGTTACAAAACATTTACCAACCAACATCAAATTTGGATTGAAATCTTAAGTGTTTTAATCCTAAAATCTTCTTCTAAATAGTTATTAAGAAGAATAATAAACTTTTGTAATGAATAATTGGCAACCAAGTAAACTAAGATTGGAGTGAAACAGACATTCTGGAAAAATACTATTTATGTATTTTATTTTAAATTTGCTAGTGTAAATTGTAATGGTTATTTGAAAATCTCGGTACTTTAAGACAAAATTTGAGATTTGTGTAAAATGATCAATCATCATTGATCATGGCCAGAATCTGATGAGGTTGTTATGGTGTCTTGGTCGAATCTTTATGGTCGTTGGCGAGGACGAATATAGGAATAAAAAGAACGAATATTCATCCGAGATCTACCTTTATTTTTTACGGGGAAAAAAGCAAGCACAGAAATTACTAGAAAGTATGCAAATTAGGATGTAGGGCCCATATTGTACACGTTTAAAATTGAACATTTTCACATTTTTCTCCGTTTAAGCATTTCAGCAAAAGGATTCCTTGCTCACCCCAATATGTACCAATGCTTCCCCTGTACCCGTCCCTGGTCGCTTAAGATTATTAAAATTGTTAATACAATCCCTTTTTGCTTCCCTATATGTTTTTTTAGCTCAGAATAGAAAAACCACAGACTACACAGAAGATAGGTTTTTAGAGTGCCATCTCATGGCCACATGTTAAACATAATACCCATTCAGGGGTTATGTTTTACAACTTTTAAAGAAATACTCCAATTTTAAACATGAAACATAACATTTCTGAATTCAGTCTTTTTTGAAGGTTTTGAGTTTCGTATCCAAAGGATCCTTAAATATCCCTGAATACAGATGTTTGCTGATTGGTTGTTCACAGTTCTTTTACACAATAGAACATGCTGTGGAAAATATCGCATATTTTAGATGATAATCGATCTCTGTAACTCTGGTATCTCCGAGAAAAACCGTAAAAAGGAATTGAGTTTTTGTCACAAACTAAAATTTTTAAATCCCTATATCTTTGGAACCTGTTGGAGTAAACCTTTGATATTTTAAACTTAGATTATTTGATCTAACAGTATACTTAGTTTGAAATATATTGGGTCTAAGACATTGGGATCCAAAGATATAGGGATTGGAAAATCAGAGTTTGTGGCAAAGACTCACTTCCTTTGTCAGAAGTTCATTAAGAAAAGTCTTTAGACAACGTCCAGACAACATTACACAAAATAATTCACCAATAATTCATATTTTGAACCCATATCAAACATTATGCTGTTTGCACAGTTGAGATAGAAAGGATCATCATCAAAAAAGCGACAATAACAATAAATTGTGCGTTAAGAGTAAATTAGACAATTATCATCAAAACAAATGTTAGTCATACAACAATCAGAATGAAGCTTTTAAATACAAATATCAAAAGGATACTTAAACATTTTAATATACACCATTTTGTTTAACTGATACAAGTTTAATTTCTCTCTGTAACGTCGGATTCCACTGCATGTGCACTGTGCAGTCATATTTATGTTTTCTTTTGAAAATACCTGGATGGCTGAAAAATATCTTATTGAAAAAGCATCATAAGCATATTTTAGAAATTAAGAGTATATCAGAAAAATGCCAGCTTTCCTAATTGTAGAATGGCATATTCCGCACCTCGGTCCCCATTCCAATCCATTACAACCTTCCCTGATGAAAAATTAAATGATCTATCAGTAAGGTTGGTAGAGTGTTCTGGTAGTAAAGTAAATAAAGTTATTTGTCTTTAAAATAAAGTTGATGCATATGTTATTTAAGTTAATTTGAACATATGTGCAGGGCCAACCTTTCAACTGTACTACAATTACTAAAGCGGCAGAGGAACGTGCTCTATTTCTGTATTCAGTGATTGAGATGGATCTTTTGATATCGCTGAAAAAATCATTTTTTTGCTTGTATAGTGAATTAGTTAACCTTAAATTTTATTAAAACTGGTTTCCGGGTGGTAATTTTTTACCATGCAAAAAAAAATATTTCTTATTGTTGTTTTAATAGTCAAAACTAATCCAATGCACAGAGAGGGAAGTGGAATGGTAAATATTGATCATCCCTACCATGAATGCTTGTTTAACTTTTAACTCTATACAATTTGGTATAGTCAAGTCAAAATACTGACAGAAATTAAAGTGCTCACTTGGTTTCTCCCTCCTTATGGCTAGACAATGACATGTTAATTTTAGATTTGATGGAAAATAAAGCTTTGTTAATGAATATATATTGTATATTGCATCCTCAGACTATTTATATCTAAAAAAGAAATTGTATCAAAGTATTGCTTTGATCAAGGACAGAATGATATCCCAGCTTAAATATATCAAGGCATAAACAACTTTTATGATAAATGGAAAAAATATCTTTTTTTTAATAGGTATAGATAAAAACTTTACCGCAGTGGGAGAAAATTCACAATTTGAGAGGACAAATTAAAACATTTCATGTATAGATAAACTGGCATCAATTAATCAGCTCATTTTTTATGTACTGTGCATATTGTTTACTTTCAATTTATTGACTGGTGGATTATCTTTTACCTGATATTCCATCGATAGTTCGATTTTTCATTCTTTTTGTGATATTTTCACCAGAACGAATTCCCTTTTCTCCTTCTTCTTCCAATGTCTCGTTTAATGCCTTTATATTGCAATTGCTATATTTTCGTTTATGTTTATTGTAAAATGCGGGTTACTTTTTCTTTAAAAAATGCGAAATTGAAAATGAATTACAAACCTGAGCATATAAGAGTGCTGCATCATGAAGGTTTGCTGCAAATACATTGTTTTCCTCATAATCAATATAACCAAATAACTCCTGAAAACATTAATTGGTTTTCATTAATTTTCGCTAAATAAACTCTTAAAAGTTGTAAAACCTTAGATGTATTAACTCCTGAAAACATTAATTGGTTTTCATTAATTTTCGCTTAATAAACTCTTAAAAGTTGTAAAACCTTAGATGTATTCTTGACTTCTTGGGCAAAGTTGGTCCATCCCTTCGCTCTGTTAAGCACAGCTGTTACTGTTAATACGGAACCAAAAGCTCTTAAAATCATATGTTGTACAATCTACAGATAAATTATAAACAAATAAGTTTGGGAAGAGTTTCCCAAAACATTAAAAATGCAACATTTATAGTTTTCGACAAGACAAATCACCAACTAATTTTGATTATTCAAATTTAATGTTTGTAGGATGGGCGGATTTTTAGGAATGTTAATTTGGTAAAGACAATTTGGTAATGACAATTTGGGAAGGTGACAATTTGGTAACGACAATTTTGTTGGGTCACAAAAGTGACAATTTCGTAATGACATATTAGTAACGTCATAAAAGTGACAATCTGGTAATGACAACTTGGTATGGTAAAAATGCTGGTAAAAAAGTATACATATTTGCAATTATTGATAAATAATTAATTACATTTTGTTGGATTAGGTTAGGTAAAGACTATTTTTTCGGCCGAGCGCTGCGGCCTCTTTTATGTTAAATGTTGATTTTAAGCTGATTATTTTAACCTTCTTATTTAACCATTTTCTTTAAATTGTGTAACTGTTCTATCTGCAGTACTCGGCCTAGAAGTAGTCTTAACCCCACAAACCCAAAATAATTTGAAAGAAGCCGTAAACAGCGCTCGGCCTCCTAGCCCATCCTAGCTGCAGCTACACTTCTTAATCCAACCTAATCCAAAATCCTACACTTCTTAATCCAACCTAATCCAAAATAATGATAGAGACAGCACATTATTCAACATTTATGAGGTCGCAGCCCCGTGGCCGCAGCGCTCTGTCCAGAAACTGGCTTTACCTAACCTAACCCAACATAATGATACATTTCGGTAATCGACGTTTTGTTTTATAAATCTATTAATCTAAACCTAATTCAATTACACATTGTAAACATTAGTACGAGAATATTATATTTTTTTTTCATCAATTATTTATATATTCCCAAGTACAGTCTATTGTGTTAAGTTTCACCATTGATAAAGATTTTATAAATACATATTTAAGTAACTAGAGGTTAACAAAAGTTACTTAGACTAAAAATGAACTTAGAACTAGCAACAAACTAATCCCTTTTTCTTTCCAAGCTGATATTGTAGACCTCGTATTTAGTCACCAAATAGTCCTTTTTATGTAGTTTAACACCTGGTTGTCACCTTTTATGTATTTACCAATTTGTCATTACCAAATTTTCACTTATATGTACTTACCAAATTGTCATTACCGAGTTGTCGTTACCAAATTGTCACCTTACCAAGTTGGAAATTACCAAATTGTCCTTACCAAATTGACGTTACCAAAAATCCCCCGTCGTTTGTAGGCTGAAATGTATGTGCAACAAGTTGTTGATGAATTACTTGTGGTTAAAAAAGATTTTTCACAGCCAGAAAGCTACATTCTTGTTGGTTGAAAGTAATAATTTTATGACCCAAGAACTTTAAACTGAAAACAAATATAATGTAGTACAGATGAAAAGCGTGTACTGAATTGTATTAGTTTTGAAATAGAGACAGCTAGTAAAAAATCTTACGTAGATATTGAAATGACCAAACATCGAAAAACAAATAGTGGTTTCCTATTTAGTTCTTGGACACCTTGTAAGATATTTAAATATCGTGTAAAAAAATTACTTTGCAGCTCTTTTGTTTTCTTCTTTTGTGCTTTGTTCTGAGTACCAAGGTCGATAGGTTTGTGGGTATCCAGTCATTATATCTAAGTTAAAAATATTCAAATATATTTTTAATTAACAATTTTTTAGATTTAGAAATAGAAGTAAAATATTTTACCCATATTGATAAAGACGTATTGTCCTGTATCAAGAATTCCTATTTCCTCTGCTCCCAGCATAATATCCCGGATAGAATCACCATTGGCACACATCACAAATATGCTATTATAGGAATTCATTTATATCAGCAATGATTTCAAACATAATTGTTTTTAATTTTGACCATTTGATTTCGACACAACAAAATAAGAAAAATAAGTGACCTATAGTTTAGCTCGGGCATTCTTTGTCGAAGCATATCTACAGAATGGTTGTAAATAGTGTCTGTCATATCCAGCTTTATCTCTTGAATGGTAACCTTAAAATAAAACAAATAGATGTTATATTATAAAATATATTTTAAAAAACCATAAGAGCTACGCAAAGTACAGAAACTAGTCATGTAGCCCACCTGTCTTTTTTTCATCTCCTCTACCACGGCAGACATTACATGAGTGCACGTTAATTCTCCTGTCCATTCTGCGTGATCTCCTTTTCTATTAATAACAGCTAGGTGTATACAAATATATGTTGGTTTAAAAATGATAAAGCTTGGAAATAAAACTTATTTAGGCAAGTTTAGATTTAGGAAAAATCTAATTTTTAATAGATTAGATTTTAGGGGGGGAAAAATATTTGGTTATAAGCGACAGAAAATAAATACCATGCAAAATAATATCGTTATCAATGAAAAAAAAAATGTTATGCAGAGTTATTAATAAAATAATATATTGTAAACCTGTAAAGAAGAACAAGGCGATGCCAATCAAATTCTTCCATCATATTACTAACAGCCTGAGAAACCATGAGACAAAATAATTGAATTATAGAATGTTTGTAAGTCAGACGATTTTTAATGGAATATTCATAAAATAATGTTATCAGAACATTTTCCAAAATTTGAATTTAAACTTTGTTAAATGTATTATTCATCTTATAAAATAGATGATAAAGGAGAAAATATAATTATTAAAGATATTATAGAATATTTATTTTTGTTTCCTTAGCAGTATCTAGGAAGCTGTACCCTGTCCTAGTCAGCAAAAAGAATTCATCTTCCCGCCTTTATTAAAAATATAAATATATCATAATAGTAAATCAACAAATAATCTCTTTGATATTTTATCAATAAGCATGATTTTCAAGCACTTACATTGTGAGTAAAATTAACGAAAGCCCTATCGTTGAAATGTATATTACATCTATATATAAATTTGGCTTGTCTGTTTGTCTGTTTGTTTGTATCCAATAAACGTCAAAACGGCTGAACCGATCGGGTCCAAATTTTTTGTGGGACATTTAGGGTTAAAAGTTGACAATTCTTGGACCCATTGTGGCAACAAAAAAATATTAAAATAACGGCTTGAAATAAGTGTATATTCCATATTGGCATGTTAAAATGAGCTTTTTCTTTCATACTTATGACCAAGGATAACTTTTTTTTGTTGTTGCAAATTTTAAGAATAGTAATGCGCAGGTATTCCATTGTTGAATAAGATAATTATAGAATAACTTTTTAGGGATCGGCATTTTAACAAACAAATTCAGTCAAAAAATCTATGAATCTGCGATGTCTAGACATTAAATTCTCAGATAAATAAATAGTAAATATAGCTAATCATTTTATAAAGATTTTTTTTTAATCAGGTATACCTGTCCTTCCGATACTGATAGTTAAGAGCCATCCCTCCTGCGGTTATTAAACTAACATTGTAGAACTTAGCTTGTCTGGCTACAGCTGCAAGACCATACTCACATGAGGGGCCAAAGAGCACATCAACACCATCCACCACTGCATCTGTCCATGTCTACCGATTTTATAAAATTAAAAACACTGCAATAAAATACATATCGCAAATTCTTGATTTGTCTCTGATTGTTCAATGTTTACCTTAGGAGCATAAATGTTATCACAATGAGAATCTCTAAAGGATATATTGAAGTAAACTGAGCTTACAAGTCCTCGTCGGTCAGCTTCTTGAAGACCAGCCAGTACACCAGGCCCAGCTCTTCAGTCAAAATAAATTTGTATGTGTTATCTCATATGTTTGATCAAACAAAGAAAAAAATTATTTATTTTGCATTGAAAAGATTAATTATTAAAACTCAAAAATGTAGCCATAGTTTCAAAATTTTATGTAAAATTATACAGCAAGCTTAGGCAGGCACAAAGTCAAAGTAATTTTATAGTACAATTGCTATTGTTTCAATGAGCTGCACGCAATTCGTCAAATGAAATATTTTGTAAGGCCGAGATATAGTGGCGGAACTATGGGCGGGGACGAAACTTTTTCCCCCCCCCCCCCCCTCACTCACCACTACTTATCATTGTTGTTTACCATCTTTTATCACCTGAGTTATACAGACATTGAGTTAATTCGACTAATGTAGAAATTTGCAGGTCGATATTTTGTATTATGAATCATAAAAGCTTTTTTAAGTTATTTCATGACATGATACTGTGAACAAGTTAACTATCATTAATGATAAATAAGATGTAATTAGTACACTAAATGTGTTTTCTAACAATGCACCTGAACAAAGAAGGCAGTAAGCTTGTGTTTTTTGGAATGTTATTCGAAATACTGACAGGCAAAATCACAGAAACTCGCACCTGGCCAAAGATTTTTGGTTAAACTAATAAAAGAAAATTTGGATAAAATTAGTGACATTTTTTTAAAGAACCAAAACCTGAAAAAGATATTTTTCTCGTCCAACTCTATTAGGGGGCCAGATCAAATTTGGCCACGAAGCTATGGAAGGGTAGACTAAAAAACACAGATTTCCTAAAATATTATTATGTTTATATTTTATTTTACATAGTGATATTTTCTTTCACTTTTCTATTTTCATTTTTACATAAAAATCCAAAACATTTTTCAGAAACCTTTGCTTTCTGTTGCTTAATGTTTTTATTGCCTTTTAAAATTTTTATGAAATCTAGAAAAGTATTTATAAAATGAATTTAACATAAAAATACAATGCAGTTCCTTCCAATTTAGCTTTTACCTGTAGACAACAAAATTAGCAAAGATGTTTTCATTTGAAACCCATCTATTCTGAAATATTATTTGAAATGAAATTTGTGGTTATCATTGCTATCCTGTTGTATGTAGTATTAATTTGTAATATGTGTATTGTGTATATCTGTATAAACTAAAAATCAAGGAGTATGTAAGTAATGTAAACAGAGGCCGAATTTAAAGAATTTGAGCCGCGGCTCAAATATGGTTAGTTCCTCTTAAAATTGTATTCAATGTTTCAAGATTTAAGCCGGTGCTAAATTGAAAACAGTTTCTGGCGGATTTGATACGTGGCTCAAAATCATTAAATTCGGACTCAGACTTACTTATGACTGGTTTCCTAATCGAGCTTGCTGTTATTCATTTCTATACTGAGGATTCAAAAAATACTAAAATATTATTTTAGGAAAATATTTTGTCTTTATTTTTCTGCTTGGACATCCGATTTTAAGTGTAGTGAAATACATATTATGCACTTCGTACTCATTCATGTGGGTTTGGGGTCCCCACAATTAGTTGATAAGTATTAGAATAAATTGTGGTACTTTCAGGGAAACTTTCAATTCTGACTTTTAAGGTTTGGTTGCAATATGCTTGTGTGAAGTTGCTAACCTTACACATAATAATACTACTAAATCCCTTCATCCTCTGCTCTCACATCTAGCTTTGCTTCCAAGCTATATTATTTATATTCCGGTCTGGTCTGAGAAAAAATGGATAATATGGTACATGTACATATTTATCAGATTCGGCAATACTGATAAATCGTTTTGTGTATAACGAGTTAATTTTAATAATAAGTTCATTCAAGTAAAAGATCATGTTTTACACGCTCGGATATTGTTTAAACGTTACACAAAACAAAGTTGATGGGGATCATCAACAATTTGAAATAGCTTGAAAATATATTGGACTAAGTTTGCTCAATGAAACTGAATGGTAACTTGGAACATTTTAACTTAACTTCGCGAAAATTCGCTTCAGCTTCAAGTTTGAGAAGAGTCGTTTAATTAAATTTAAAGTTTTAATAAAAGAAAGATAACAAAGATGAAACAAGTACAAATATTGATAAGAATGTGTTTGTTTTTTATCATTTATCTTAAAAGTAAGTAACAAAGACAGCAAATGATTCATGAATATAAGGAGTTAGTTAGGAAATTAAAATTAACCGGCTGCACTAGAAAATATTCGAAAATATTAAAACAATTTGATTTTTAAAAATTATCACACTAAAATTAAATGCGTGCGGCAATCGCTTTCCCTAACACTACTGAGTAACAAAGATAACTGACGGGTCCTCAGACTCTGATAAAAATTCCAGCAAGAGAAGGTCTCTGTCTGCCTAACATAAACTCTTCATAACTCTCCTTCTCAAAAATAAAAAAAAATAAACTTTCTTGGCGGTTGTTTGATTTTTTATTTACCAAAGAAATGAAAATTTATTAAAAGAATTTATCTTATCGCAATTAAAAGTATTATCTGTTTTTGCTTTCAATAGAATTTAGGTATAAGCAAGGAAATTGAGTCTTTGCCACAAAGTCAAATTTTCTAATCCCTATTTCATTGCAACCTGATGGTGTAAGCATTAGATATTTCAAAGTTAGTTTATTTGATCAAAAAGAATATATAGCTTAAAATATCAGTGGTCTACAACATCTATAGACATTGGGTTGCAAAGATAAAGAGATTTAAAAATCAGAGTTTTTGAGAAAGACTCAATTCCTTTGGATCATTTTAGCGCACAGTTAATATAAATATATAAAGTATATATGATAAAAAGTCCAATATAATAAAATGGGGATATCAATCAAAAGTATTACGGACGAAAGAGAAAGATATACGAAGAAAAATAAATCGAAAGCTGTCTTTAAGATTTGTATTTTTAAAGTCAACGTGCCAAGAATAAAAAAAACATGTTAGTTTATAAATCAGGTAAATATGCATGACACTATACAGGGTGAGTAAAAAATATGAATTTTCGATGTTTTGGACAACATTTTCAAAATTTTTGATTGCTTAGGATTTTTAAAATGTTAACAAAAATCAAAAGTATTTTGGAACATTAAAAGAATACGTTGTCGGGGAAATGCTTATTTTATTATATTCCAAAATTTTATAAATCTTAATAACAAAGGAATTGAGTCTTTGCCACACATTCAGTTTTTGTAAAACCTATATCTCTGCAACCTTATGATGTAAACCTTTGATATTTCAAACTTACATTATTTGATCTAACAGAACTCAAAGTTTGAAATATTAAAGGTTCACGAGTTACGACATTGGGTTGCAACGATATTGAAATTAGAAAATCAGAGTTTGTGGCAAAAACTCAATTCCTTTAATGAAAAATTAGAAAAAATCCGTGAAAAATTTACTTTTAAGAATTCTTTCTCAAGGATTATTATTTTTTGTGTATTGATTTGAAGTGCTATGGACGTTTTCATTTTTAAGAAAAACGATCGTTTTTGAAAACGATCGTTTTTTTAAAAGTTCGTTTTTTAAAAATAGTCGTTTTTAAAACGATCGTTTTTCAAAACGCTCGTTTTTAAAAAGATCGTTTTTCAAAACGATCGTTTTTTATAAAATTCTTCGTTTCGTTAACGATCGTTAACGACGACCCTTCGCTAACGATTGTTAACGACAAACCTTCGTTAACGATCGTTAACGAAAACCCTTCTTTAACGACGACCCTTTGTTAACGATCGTTAACATAATTTTTTTAACAACAATCGTATAAAAAACGGTCGCAAATCGTTTTAATAAAAACGATCGTTTTCAAAAACGATCGCTATTCGTTTTCTAAAAGTTCAAAACGAGTGGGTCGTTTTTAAAAACGATCGATTTTTTCCGAAAACGAAACGATCGTTTTTAAAAATGAAACAAAAAACGATTAACAACCCTTGGTCTATATGGTCTTGAATAAATTTTTTTCTTCATTTTCTTGAATTGTGTCCAAATTTTATCTTAATCAATCATATTCACTGCTGAGTGTTGACATTTCTATAATGTTTAGTCTTCATGATAAGTGCTTTCCAACCTTATTTTCTTTTCTTTTTTGGTGTTTGTGTTGTAAAACATAACCTTAAAAGTTCAATTAATTGTAACAATATTGTTTGAAAATATGGAAACGGCTTTCTATGTAGTTTAAAAACTTCGTTTTTTCGAAAAAAATTTGGCTTCGCGGATTTTTTTTCAATGTTCCAAAAACATTTTTTTTATTAATTTTGTCTGAATTTAATGTTTTTATTCAATAATTTAGAAAACTTTGTTTAAAAAAATCGATAATATATGTGCATAGATCTAATAGATACTTTTCAATATTAAAGGGACAGACCGGCTATGTAAGGTAGTTGAACTGAGTCTGCAATGTTGTGGACAAATTCTTTAGGATTCATTTGAGACATAAAAAACTTTTTAAAGAGAGTGTTCGCGACAAATGAAAAGGGGGGTATTGGCTTAATGCGATAAAAAAGCGCTTTTTATCGCTACTAAACTTACTTCTATCTGTTGCGTCTATAAGGAGAAACTTGTTAAAGACGTCTCATACCGAATAACTTAGCGCCCATACAAATTCATAAAATTGCAACATACGACTTAGACCATAAAAATCCATTTTTCGCCACATTTGTATATAGTTTATATTTTATAATATTTTTTGATTAATTTGTTTGTTTCTCTTGTCGCTTGCGCAACTATCTAAGAATGCCGCACACCACTCACAATTATCGAAATCCGTTTAAAACGTTTTCTAAAAAAATAAAATATAAATTATATACAAATGTGGCGAAAGATAATCGATGACTATAGGTTGTAATATCTGAATGATTTGTTTGAAATTAAATTGATTTTTTATATGATTTGTAGTATGTTGCAATTTTCTCAATTTGTATGGCCGCTAAGTTATTCGGTATAAGACGTCTTTAACAATTTTCTCCCTTTAGATGCAACAGATAGAAGTAAGATTAGTAGTGATCAAAAGCGCTTTTTTATAGCATTAAGTCTATAGGGGGTATTTTTCGCGAGCACTCCCTTTAATAATAGATTCAACATCACACATCTTATCGTACATATCCTTGGTTGCTTTCCCAGTTTTAACTACTCCCTGTAGATGTTCGATGTGTTGTTGTATTTCATACATCTTCTTATTCTGCTCCGACATTGCTTTCACTCTTTGAATCTTTTTCAATGTTTTTAACTCTTCATCTTTTTTTACCTTGCAACTCCTTTTTTTCACTATCTGTAATAGGGCTTACAATTTTTTGCGCTGAATGTTTCCATCCTCTCTTCCCGTTTCCTTAGGGTTTCCAACGTGATAGATTATTCTCTTACGCGTAATTACGTGCAGTAACGCGTAATAATTTTCATTTCGTGTAATTTTGCAGGATTACGCGTAATTGGGGAAATGAAATTACGGCTTAATTTCGCGTAATTTCTACAACGTAATTTCGCGAAATTTCGTAATGATTACGCGTAATAAGCGAAACTATAATTACGCGTAATTACGGCCTAATTTCGCGTAATTTCTACGAGGTAATTTCGCGAAATTTTGTATTAATTGCGGCGTAATTAGCAAAACTTCAATTTCTACAAAGTAATTAAATTTTGCAATAATTACGTCTATGAAATTTTGTTTTAACTTTTAATTTAAATAAAACAACTAACTTACAAGGACAATAATGTCACGCAAGTTGAATCAGAAATTTAAGTTAATACTATGTTGATATAATTTTCACGTTCGAAAACTAAGAAGTTTAACAAAGGGCCAACAAAATAATCTATAAATTTTCAATTTTCAACGACTTGTTAATATTTCACAGGGGCGTAAATAAGGATTCTGTAGGAGGGGGGGGGGGTAAATTTTTATATTGTGGCGCGCCGTTTTTTTTGGTTTTAGTTGGGTTTAATTTGCATTTTCCACTCATTTCTGGCATTTACAAACTCCACCAAATACAGGCTTCATTTCCTACCTTTCATTTCACCATGTTTTATACCCTTCAATATAGTCATTTATTTTACATTAACTACAACGATC